TACCAATCTCTTTGTTGCCTGTCTCATGGTGAAGTTTGGATTCACATTCTGCATGTTTAGCATACTGCTGAATCCAGATGTCTGTGTGAATTTCTACAATGTAGGGATTTCTTCATGAGCTGAGAGGACCTATTTTCTCAGCCCCTCTCCTCCCCCTCCACCTCTTCTTTATTCAGAAGGTGGCTTTACAGGCTAGGTGTGTCTCGACCAGAAAGATGAATCTACTGTGGTATTAAAAACAGATAGCTCAGTAGATATCTCTGTATCATGGGAATATATTTTAAATTAATAATAGGTAAATTAAAACTGCATCTGCTCTCTAAATGCATTCTGTCTGTTGAATAGGCTTAAAGCTGTTGGCGTCACTGCATCAATTTATGAAGTAAAATTGAAATACAAATACCTAAACACAGATTTCAGAGGTACTGTCTCAGCCTGATCTCTGAAGGCACATAAGTAGTTTGAAATATTCTGGTAGAAGCAGATATGTAAGTGACACAAGTCATTACCTTGTGCAGGGTATAAAATTAAACCCATAAACATTTAATAGACTCAGTTAAAAAGTTTTATTATTGTTTTAAAGTGACTATTCAGGTTTTTCTTATCCTGGAACTCTCTTAATCCGAGAGAAAAAACAATTTTGCAGCACAAGTTAAAGCTGATATTTGAGGTTTCTGCACTTTTCCAAGTTTTGTATGTTCCAGCATCATTTCAGAAATTCGTCTTCTTGCCGGGTGATGAGGTCTCCTTTCATAAACAGACCCATTTAAAGGCTTTTCCCTCTCCTGCTGCCGGTGGCCTAGGCAGTTCTTGGGGGAACAGCACTGCTGTCTGGGCAATATGGAAAGCGTGGACTTGTTATTCTGACAAAGTGAACCACAGCCTACAATGCCATTTAATTTGCCAGTACCTTCATTTAGGGCTTTTCTTCGACATTATCACCACTGTTGTGCTATTGTCTCCAGTACAACGGAAGCACCAATAGTGGTAGCAGATTAGTGTTTGAATACCACACAGTCCTCCTCAGCACCTTCATCATGACTAAAAATCCTAACAGACAGACTGTATTTAAAAGCACCTTGACCATCTGCCGAAACCTCCTGAGCTTAAAGGAGAAGTAGAAACTACTCAAGACCTCTAGCACTGTAACTGTATAGCAATTGCAGTCTCAACCATCTGTAATAAGATTAAAGAAACAACAGCAAAAACCTCAGACGTGGTAAACAGTCCTGTGAGCGGTATATGGTGTTGCAAAATGTGTTGATTTTTTTAATGCAGAATTGTGGCTTTATTTTTTAGGTTAAAAGGAAACCCAGGTACCCCTATATGACCTATATAAGACTTGGGGTATAAAAAGGAGAATATTTCATAGATGAAGATCCTCCTTGAAATAGTCACTGTGGTCACTCCTGAGATGGCAGTGAAATATGTCCACAGTTGCAGGGCAGGGCAAAGGGTGTTTGATGGAGACTAAGCATATGCTATTTGAAGCTTTGTGGCTGATACTTTTCCCTGGTTTGCATGGAGGTGAATATGTAATGTTTCTAGAGGCCAGATCATTATGTATGTACTTATTTATTCTTTGATTAATTACGTTGAAACATGCTACAAAACATAATATCCAGAAATGAATTGTACATGGGGTATGCTCAAGTACAATATTGCTATTGTATTCTGTAACAAATAACTTTGTTTGACACAGACGTGAGGCACACCGATGGACAATAATTATGCCTGTTATTACTAATAGTATTATGTTAATAGTAGTATCTCACAACATTTTATAAGTCAGTAAGAGAATCAGAGAGGACAGGAGAAGTGACTTCACCTAGGTGATTCAGGAAGCAAGAAATAGCATTGAAAATGCTGCTTCTTTGCTGTTACTGCTATACAGTTTTCTCTGTTAAAAGGTATTAATGCTCAGTCCTGTGCTATCTCGTCCTTGCCTTCCACTATGGTTCACTACTTCAGTTTCTAACAGACACATACCTCACAGGAAAGCTATGAAGGGGAGAAAATTCTAGAGTGAATTGGTGTGGGCAGCCAGCGGAACAAGTCGATCATGGCTGTGGCACACCCTGAAAGTATTCACTCTTGAGCTTCCTGGCCTTTGAAGTGCTTCAGAGTTGGGGCTGTGTGGAGAATAAGCAGAGCTTGTACATCCTCTGGTACATATTTCTTAGGAGCTTAAAGGGAAAAGCAGAGCATGTTGCAGACTTCTCAGTAATCTGTTAAAGTCTGTTTCATTAAAATGTTATTAGGAACTTTTAAATTGACTGATTCCTAGGTTGAATCATAAATTCATTGCTAATAAGTGTGGAGCGCTAATTTCATAAGTAATCCACATTTTATGAATTGTATGATGCACAGAAACTTTTGTGTGTAATGGTTTCTTTTACTGGCCCTATTCAAAACCTTTGGCATGGTGCAGCTGGGTGCTCTAGTGGTTGCAACTTGTGGAAAGTGAATACATCCTCATTTTAATGCTGAATGCATACTGGAAAACTTGGAAAGGTGTATCAGGTCAAAAGGCGTGAATGGACTGTGGGACCTGACTTTCCTGAGAGAACTAGGTTACGAACCAATGAAGGTGCATTGTCTAAATATTCCCTGTTTCTCCCCTGTAAGGGGCGTTAGCTGAAACACTTGCGTAAGTGTGGAAACTACACATATTTGTAAGGCTGTTTGTTGCATGTAGAAAGATTAAAGGCTTTTCAACGAAGCCAATCAAAGGCATATCTGTTAAAGGCAATAATGTTAAATCGGTAACTGATAAAAAATTGACTTTTCTTTGCAGACAGGATTTGCTATAGTTACATTTTTATTTAGTAAGAAAAAGTTCATTGTTGAGTTACAGATGAAAAGCACATTATCAAGGCTTGAATATTAATCCCTTGATAAGGGATGAATGAGGGTTTTTTCATTTGATATTACCCTTGACCGTTCTGCTTTGTGATGTTCTTTTAAGGCTTTGCACAGTAGCCAGTTGATTAGCCTGTAATCTGAGAAGATTAAATTTGTCCACCCATGTCTTCTGCTTTTTTCTTTTTTCAAGTACTGCATCTTGCTCTCCTTGATGTGCACAAAGACAGCATAGTTTCAGAAGCTCTAGGTGATGAGAGCATGCCAATTGTTTTTCAATGTGTCTCTTTAAGAATCACAATTTAATTATTTTTTTTTCCTTCTGGAAATACCAAAACCCCTAAACTACATTTTTCCAAATTGTTTGTCCCTCTTTGGTCCTTTCAAAAGAGAAGACTGACTACTTTCCTTTTACCAGCAAAGGGAGGTAGGAAAAACTTCCATTTTATGATCTTACTTTTCTGTAAGACCCAATTGCTGATAAGCAATAAAACTGCCTATTTATTAGACTTTTCACTATGCCACGTAAGTTTTCTGAGTAATTTAGAGTCAATTTAGTTAATGACATCTGTCCTGTGCAGTTAGTTGGTGCATGAAACAAACTTGTTGTCTTTTTAAGACTAATTTATGGTCTTGGAGTTGTGATTAAACTTAAAGTTGTGATTTATGACTATTTAAAAGGGAGAAAAACTGTTTAGTAGAGCCTTCATGAGGTTGATTGGGAAAAATAAGCATTTT